GAGGGAGGGTGGAGGGATGAAGGGAAGGAGGGAGGAGGGAGGAGAGAGGAGGGAGGAAAGAGGAGGAGGAGGAGGTAGTAGGGCGGAGGAGAAAGAGGAGGAGGAGGAGGAGGAGGAGGAGGAGGGAGGGAGGAGGAGGAGGGAGGGGGGGGTGAGGAGGGGTGGGGAGAGGGGATGGGTGGAGGGAGGAGGGAGGAGGAAGGCAGGGGGGAGGGGAGGGGGGAGGGAGGGGGAGGGAGGGAGGGAGGGAAAGAGGAGGGAGGGCGGAGAAGGAGGAGGGGAGGAGGAGGAGAGAGAAGAGGGAGGGCAGGAGGAGGAGGAGGAGGAGGAGGAGGAGGAAGGAGGAAGGAGGAAGGAGAAAGAATGAGCAAGGAGCAGGGAGCAGGGAGAGGAGAGAAGGGAGCAGGGAGCAGAGAGGAGGGAGCAGGGAGCAGGGAGCAGGGAGCCTTGAGCAGGGAACAGGGAGCACGGAGCGGGGAACACGCAGGAGGATGAGGGGAGTGGAGGAGGAGGAGGAGGAGGAGGAGGGCAGAGGAGCAGGAGGAGCAGGAGGAGCAGGAGGGAGGAGGAAGGCGGAGGAGGAGAAGGGAGAAGGGAGGAAGGGATGAGGAGGAGGAGGAAGGAGGAGAATGAGGAAGGAAGGTGGAAGGAGAGGAGGAGGAGGAGGAGGAGGAGGAAGAGGAGGAGGGAGGAGGAGGAGAAGGAGGAGGCGGAGGAGGAAGGAGGAGGAGGAGGGAGGAGAGGAGGGAGGGAGGGAGGGAGGGAGGAGGGAGGAGGGAGGCAATGAGGAGGGAGGGCAATGAGGGAGGGAGGGGAGGTTGGGAGGGAGGAGGAGGAGGGAGGGGTGAGGAGGAGAGGAGGAGGAGGAGAGGAGGAGGAGGAGGAGGAGGAGGAGGGAGGAGGAGGAGGAGGAGGAGGAGGAGGAGGAGGAGAGGAGGAGGAGGAGGAGGAGGAGGAGGAGGAGGAGGAGGAGGGGGAGGAGGAGGAGGAGGAGGGGCGGGAACGAGAAGCGAGGAGGAAGGAGGAGGAGGAGGAGGACGAGGACGAGGACGAGGACGAGGACGACGAGGACGAGGGACGGGGACGCGGAGGACGAGGAGGACGAGGAGGAAGAGGAGGAGGACGAGGAGAGAGGAGAGGGCGAGGAGGACGAGGAGGACGAGGAGGACGAGGATGGAGGAGGGAGGAGGGAGGAGGGCGGAGGGAGGAGGAAGGAAGGAGGAAGGAGGAAGGAGGAGGTGGGCAGTAGCGGGAGGAGGAGGAGGAGGAGGAGGAAGAAAGACAGGAGGAGGAAGAGGAGGAGGAGGAGGAGAAGGAGGAGGAGGAGGAGGAGTTGGATGAGGAGGAAGCAGGGAGCAGGGAAGAGGGAGGAGGAAGGAGAGGAGGAGGAGGCCGACGACGACGACGACAACGACGAGGTGGACGAGGGGGATCCAGACCGCGGCCCCTGCGTGGCCCTCGCCAGTCCCCAGGAACGTCAAAATGCGCCGAGGAGGGCGAGCCGTCCCGGATGAAAGGGGCCAGGACACCGCGCGGCCCGCGCCGAAAAGATGGTTCGCCGGATCTCTGGGAACGGGGACGGAAAGGAAATGGACAAGTCGGCCACGCGCAAAGGGGGGTAGGGGGAGGAGGGAAGGCGTCTTAAGTAGAACGAGGTTGCTTCTTAGCAGGCGCGGGCCTTATATCTACACATGTTAAGGCTGGCGCTTTCTCCGAAACAGCACCCTTCTAAGAAGCCTTCCCCCCTCCGCCTGCCCCCTTGTGCGCGCCGCCAGCAGCCATCGTCGGCATCGACGCGGACGAGGAGGCCCGCAGAGCCGCTTCTGCCCGCAGGGCCCCGCCCGACAGAGGGTGGGCGCCGCGTCGGCCGCGCGCGTCTCGCTCGGGCCCGGCGCCCGCGGGCGCCGCCGAGTCCGCCCCAGTGGCGGCGGGGAGGCCCCGCTCCCCCTCTGCTGCCCCTCGTGCCCGCCCCCGCTCGCCCCTGCTCGCTCGTCCTCCGGCTCCTCCGTTCCGAAGAAGGAAGGACATGAAGTAAACAGAAACTTTTGGCGCTCCGCGCGGATTCTTGCTCGCTCCTGCTCCTCACTCCTCCTCCTCTTGGTTCCTGACTCCTCCGCGGTGCTGGTGCAATACCTGGTGCTGGCGCGAGGCTGCCATGAGTCACTCCTCCTCGTCCTCCTCCTCCTCCTCCTCCTCCTCCTCCCTCCTCCTCCTCCTCCTCCTCCCGCTCCTCCTCCTCCCGCTCCTCCTCCTCCTCCGGCTCCTCCTCCTCCTCCTCATCCTCCTCCTCCTTCCTCCTCCTCCTCCTCCCCCTTTTTCCCTCCACGTCATTTTGCCTGATGCATATTTCCTCTGTGTCGTTCGCTGAGGCGTTTCGCTTGAGACGTCCTCATACTTTGCGATTCTGAACCATTAAAGTGGCAACATCTTCACAGATGGAGGACGGGCTGCGTCCAAAACGCGGCTCTTGCTTTGGCGCCGCGCACATTCTTGTAGAAAAGTGCAAGAGTTTCACGGATTGAGAGCGGGCGGGTTTCAAAATGTGGTCCTCGCCTTCGCGCCGCGCACACACTCGTCTCAAAACATACAAGAGCTTCACGGATTCAGGGTAGTTATTTTCTCCAAAATGTGGTTATCGCGTTAGCGGCGCGCACATTTGTCTAAAGTAATAAACGAGTGCACGGATTCGTATGGCTAGCTTATTAGACATGCTGTTTTGAAGCGATTCTGGATTGTCAATACGCAACAGTTGCGTTTTTCGCGGTGTTGGAGTCTCACGAGTGTGGTCATGGCACCATTCAGGATCGTCAAGGTGCACGAGTCAGGTTGATTCGTGGCTTCGGAGTCCCGAGAATGGTGTTTTGGCACGCTTCAGGACCTTCAATATTTTGTCTCCCAGCGGGGAACTTCCCCCTGTGGAAGTGGATCCTTGTATGGAGCCTATGAAGAGGGAACTTGAAGGGAGGGTGTATTCCATCATTATTGATGAGCCTTGGGCTTACACTGGTCCTCCTCCTCTTCCTCCTCCTCCTCTTCCTCTTTCTGCTTTCCGGAGGTAACATCGCACGAGCAGAATTTGTCGGATGCCCGCGCAAATCTCTTGGCGCGCGGCTTTTTGTCCACGCATGGCGCGCTCCGCGCGCTAGGGCAGGGGGGCCGAGAGCGTTTGTTATGTTTCGCGATAGCGGGCGCTATGGGCCCTGGCTGCCTCACCCTCCCCCCCTCAGGTAGCGTCACGATTCGTGCTGACCCCCGAGTTCGGTTGTTCGTAGGCATTCCCATACGGCGCTGGCGCGAACCGTGACGTTACAGGCCACCTCCCCCGCCGGCAACGCCCGCTATCGGTTGGGAATGAAAGTGCGCTCTCTTAGCGGTCAACCAGAAGATCCGCACGGACGTCCGAAAGCTTATGTCCATGCCGAGAGTGATGCCCTCCTGCCGCACACAGCTGGCTTCGGCCCCGTCGCCCCGGGGGCCTCTCCCCAAGACGAAGTCTTCAGCCCGAGCCGATTTTCGACCACCGTGGAGCCCAAGGGAGGGCCCCAGGGGCCCGAACAAAAATGACGAAAGACATGCAGGACCCCGTTCCTCCAGGGCACGCTTTCTTCATGTTATCGTGATGGTGGTGTTGATGGTTACGCTCATGGTGATGGTGAGGAGGAGGAGGAGAAGGAGGAGGAGGATGAGGAGGAGGAAGGGGAGGAGGGGGAGGAGGGGGAGGAGGGGTGAGGTTGGAGGAAGGGGGAGAGCGGAGGTAGATGGAGGAAGCGGAGGAGGAGGAGGAGGAGGAGGAGGAGGAGGAGGAGGATTGTTTCAGCATGTACGGCCAGAAGCCCCCTTCAAGCGGACGTCTCTCAGTCTCGTCGTTGGCGTCAGCTTTGGTAAAGACGAAAGGCTGCTCATCATCTTCAAGGAGCAGTGCCTCTGCAACCTGGCGCAGAGAAGCTGCGACCCTCGGGTCCTTGCGGCAGATTTGGGAAACGCCTGCGCCTGCTGAGATGGAGCACTGGCTTCCCTATTGCGAACAGCACGAGGCTCGGACTCTCTGGGGGCCATCCTGGCACACAGCACCGGAACCGGGCCCAGAGCCCCGTACGAGCGCAGAGTTTTTCCAGCCAGAGAGGAGCCCTCCAGGGCCCGCCCAGGAAGGGCAGGAGCGCCAACCGTCCAAGGAGAGGGGGGGAACTGAACCTTGCGCCCCCTTCTTCTCCTGAAGATGGCGACCAGCACGGGCGTATGTCCATTTGCTCGCCCCGCTCCTTCAGAAATGGGCGAGCAGGGCTGAGAAAGATGCATGTCTCGTCCGCCTGTGATCTAATATTGGAACTGGACATCCGCTGAGCAAAGACCCACCAGTGCAATCTACAAGCGCACAGGACGAGGAGGAAGACGTGCACTGCCAATAAGAGGAGGCCCAGCCACATTCATGCCTGGGACATGCGGCCTTCCTTCCACTGCTGTCTGGTTTGGTATATCATACTTCCGTGAGGTCCAGACGAGGCCACAGAGGGAGGTTGTTGGTGGCAATCTGGACCACGGCCGTAGGAATCTCCACATACATGTAAACTCGTTCCTGGGTCTCCTGGCCGGGACTAGGGTGGACCTGACGTTGGAGCTTGGTTGCCTTGTCGGCGAAAAGATCCGACGCGCGCAAATTTGTGTCGTTATTGTGGTCATTGCGGGCCGCAACCTTGGGATTGCATCTTTGTAAATTTGATGCATCCGACCGCCCCTGCAACAGCTTCTACCACAGATCCACGGTGGATCCTGCGAGCAGAAACTTCTTCAGAAGCATACTGCCCCCTAGAGCAACAACGCTAACACTGTCGGAGTGTAAGACTGAGCCCCCATCTAGGTTGACTCCTGGCGACGCAAAACAAGAATACTCCCCTGCTCATTGCGGAAAGTCCTCCCGCACGGGATTGTAACACACAACACAAATCTAGTCTTGGGGGATTGTCACGCATCCCCATCCAGCACATCAGAATTCCTGCACAACCGATTGGCAACAGTTGCCGTCGAGGAAGACGACGCCTTGGAAGGGCCCCCCCATCCGGCGATCTCTGAGCCAAAGCCTCTTCAACCTCTCGTCGAAAACCTCCCAGACCGCGCCGTCTATGCCATGTTGCGCGAGCGGTCTAGGACATGCATCTCCAGGATGATGGAAGGCGCCAGAGGCAATCACCAGCGGGTCGTCCAAGAGCGATTCCTGAGTTTTCAAAGCAGCCTTGGCGACCTGGGGAGCCTCGACATCACCTCTGGATTCCTGGGCCGCATCGCACTTCCACATCCCGCGGTGCAGCGCGTCAACTGTAGACTCGCGCGCAGGGTGCAGCTGGGGGGCCTGGTAGCCCTTAAGGGCCTCGCTATGGTGGCCCCAGACCGCGCGGCAACCTAACTCAGGAGCCGGGCGAAGGCTGGCAAACCCGTGGCTGCTATGACGGAGCTCCAGGACATTGTTGTTTTTTTCTCTTCCGGGAAGCAGCCCGTTTAATATCCAGCGCGCCGGGCTTGATTCCGGGAGTTCGTTGGTTTTCTTCCCAGAAGACCGTTTTAGCAGCCGCGGACGCGCCAGCCCTCGCCCAGCTTCTAACCAACGATCGGAGGCGTCCTTTCTTGGACAGGCGAGAAGCGCCCGGCTCGGAGAGTGGCGCGCGCCGCGTCGCAGCGCGGGCTCGGGCGGGCAGCGGGGGAAGGGGGCGGCGCGCCGAGGCCGCCGCCGCCGCCGGAAAGTCCCGCCCCACCGACTTGCGGGCCGCGGGGAGAGCTGACGGGAACTGTTCGGAAGACGGTCCCGGGAGCCCCTGATTGTCATTCGGCCTGGCTTCCCTGCGCCTCCAGCGGCCCACGCTGTCTGCTCGCGCCACTGGAGGCCACTGGGGGCCACGGGGGGCCATGGGGGGCCTCGGCGGGCCAGCTGGAGGAGAGACTGGAGGCGGCTCTAGGCTTGCGGGGGGCCGCTGGGGCCCAATGGAGGCCATTGGAGGAGCCGCTGCGGCAACTCAGGCGATTGCGAGAGGCTCCCAGGAGCGCCTTCTGAAGGAACTGGAACTCCCCCCAAGCCTCCCCCTGTAACTGCGGGTCGGGCATGTTCCTCTACCGGAGGGATTTGCAAGAACAGTCAGAAATAGTCTGGGGACGATTTGTCAATGATTTGTTTGAACATTGTTTGGTTATTTTTCATATTCCTTCCAAAATATGCCCGGGGGACGACGCGCCCGATCCAAATTTAAATGCTGGTATCATCTCTCTCAGCTCGAGGAGCCCCCACACCTGGCAGGGCCCGCGGCACGGGGCGCGCCGACGACGCCGCCGTCGAAGAGAGAGGGGCCCCAAGGAAGTCAATTTCAGCGATGCCTGCAAAGAACCATCCTTCCGCGAGCTCCCCAACTGCCGGCCTTTTCAGTAGACGCAGGATGGCCTCGCGACGGAGGTGCTGGATGAGCTCTGGCGAGAGGGGGGCGCGCGAGACACGCCCGCCGAAGTGATCAATAATACTGGCATGCCCATCCGTGGACCACCCCGTGCTCTGAACAGATGGAAACAGGACAGGCGCGAGTCCAGGAACTCTTCTCCACGACAAATTGGGGCCTCTTCGCCGCTGGGACACCGTCGCCCAGGAGATCCGGAGAGCAGCCAAATCAAGACGCCCACGGAAGAAGCGTGGATCTCAGAAGCAGCACTTCTCCACAGCGCCGCACATTGGGTGTCGCCGAGGAATGCCAAACAGGCTCCAGAAGCGCAATAATGGTCAGCGACCTGCTACCGGCAGTAGGTTTTCAGCGCGCTGGCAGCTTATCTGCGCGAGCCGGGGCATTCTCCATCGCTTGCGCCGTGGATCCCAGAACCTTCAAGGAGGTCAGGAAGCAGACCGCTGGCGAACCATTTGGCAGTTCTCCAGAAGTAACCCTCGAGACACTGCAGACGACGGAGCTTTCGACGTCACTCGATGTTCCCTTCACTCCTTTTCGCCACCCGGCACCCCCCCCGCCCGCCCGCGCGCGCGCCCGCGCGCCTGGAAGGAGGCGCCCGCGGGGGGGCCGCGCCCAGAGCTAACGGGGGAGCCGTCGCGGACGAGACCTGGGCGAGCCAGGGCGGGCCCTTTTCACTCCGCCCCAAGCTTGGCGCACGAGGGCGCGAATGCGACCGCGCAGCGGAAGCCCATGCCAAGGAACACCCCGCTTGCTTCCAGGGCGCCTTGGGTTTCTTGGGTTCCGATGGATTTGCCGTGGGAAGCGCGGCGCGCGACGCTCCAGCGCCGAGAATCAGCGGGCGTCTTGGGGTCTCAGGGTCGGGTTTCTCGTGGAAGGTTTCCTGTGGTCGGGCCTCCGCTGTATCCATCTCGGCTCGCCCTCCTACCACGGCGGCAATGGCGTGGGAAGCGAGGTGGCCCACTTGCAAGATCGCGGCGAGAACGATCGCGCGCGCGCCGACGGCAGAGCGCTTCGCATCACCGTCAACGCGCGCGCCGACATTCCGAAAATTGCGCTTTCGCAAAGACACCGCCCCGCGCGTCGAGGCGAAGGCTCTGGGCGTCGCGTCGAGGGCATCGAGGGCGTGGACTCGGATGGGCCCGGCGTCCGTGGCGCGTGTGCCCAGCAGTGGTTCCACGAGAAGTGATAATCGCCTTGGCACCCAGACCAGCCATCGCCACGTGACGGGCCCAATTGGAAGTCCGAGACGCAACCTTTGAGGGCGCCCCCCCCTTCCCCCCCTTGCCCCCCGCCCCGCAGAGCCCATGAATTGATCGCTCTCCGAACCTTGAGAACATCCACGAACAGTCCGTTCGCATTGCTTCAACATATCCCATAACACCGAGGCATCTTGCCACCCAGCTGCACTCCGCGTTTCGCGCTGAACGACTGCCCCCAGGCAGTGCCACGGGCCGCTCAGCGTTGCCCAGCCGAGAACAACGCCCGAGCATGCTCGGACTTCAAGCCTCAGCCAGGGGCGTTGTCGATGCCCCCAAGATCATAAGGCGAGGGAAACGCTCCGATGGGGCGAAGCCCGCAGGCGTCCTTGCTGAGCAATTCGATGGGCACCGCCCATACCTGAACAGACAATTCAGAGGCGCGCCCACCTCTGCGCAGATCTAAGCACGCGGCTGCAACGATTCATCATTCATTATTTGGTAAAGCCTTAAGCAGAAGCCGTCGTGGGAGACCGCGCTTCTCCCTGGGCATTTCCTGCTGAGGGCCCTGAGACGGCGGGCAAACAAACCATCGTGTCGAAAGTTTCCACACCTCTCGGTCCAGGGGGGCCGGGGGTCTGGCGCAAGTTGCCCCCGGGTCGAGAGCGCAAGCGCGGGGTTCCAATTCTGGAGGCCTTTGATGGCGCAGCGGGCTTCTGCGATCCCTCGCCCAAGTTAGTCGCAAGCCATGCGCGGCGATCTGTTTTGGCCGACCCCGCGAAAGCCTTCGCGAATGAACAGGGCGCCCTGCTGCGAACTGTCACGCTGCCCCATGTCTTCAAAAGGCTCTACATTGAGACCGCTGAGGCACCGGGGCCCCAGCACTGACCGCGCAGCAAAAAGTGTTCGCCGCACCCCCCGTCGGCGTTTAGCGATCCAGCCCGAAGCCCCAAGGACGTGCCTGATCAAAACCTGTAACTTCGTCCACTTCTTCGACAGCGCACTCGCCTGCGATGTACTTTCTGGCAACTTGAATGCGCATCTCGGGCAGACCCACTTGACCGTTTAGAGGGCGGGCATTTGGACTCGACGGTCAGGGCACAGGATGCTCTTCTAAACAGATTGCAGGCCCTTCCCTCGGGCTCCAACGTAGGGGATCATCCTGAATCGCTTTTGCCCACCGCACACACACCGCGGAGGCGGTCCCCCTCGGAGACTCCCCCAGCTGTCAGTCTGACCAACCTTCCAGATGTGTCCGTATCATGGCTTTGGGAGATCAAGCGTAGTCGCAATTGCGTTCGCGAGAATAGATGAGCCCCTCTCGGGAGGATGGGGGCCCGTGAAGTCCTCCCCGATAATGGCAACTCCTCCCGAGGAACCTGAAGTAGGCGTCGCCCTTCCCCAAATCGATGTCCACCCATGGTTGAGGCAAGATCTCGATGGTGATGGTGTCGCGTCAGGATCCGGCAACTGGTGCTCCTGAACCAAAAGCATACGATTGTCGCGACAAGCTGACAACCGATCTGTCATCGACCCCCAACTATTGCAGGCAAGCGCGGTTGTCTGGAGAGCGAGCTGGTCAGGGTGGGGGCGGGAAGGACCCCCTTGGGAGAAGGGGGGCTAGCCCAAAAACGCATACTCGAGATTACCATTGGCATCGATCTCATCGCTGCGATGACAGAATGCGGAGGACCTCGCGCAGGCGGCAGCCGCCCCCGAGCTAGATTTGATGTCGCAACCGTGATCTTGGAATTCCCCCCCCCCCCACCACCACCACCACCTCCACCACCACCACCACCACCCCCGCCCGCCCGTCTAGGCGGGAGCGGAAACGTCGGATTATGGTTGAGAGTGGCGCGAGCGAACCTACAACGATTCTCAGACTTTGGCCCGGGAAGGGCTCCACCGTTTCCCGTGCCTTGCGCGGCGGTAGCGTCGGGCGAGCGCCCTCAGCCCCAGCGCCATTTTGTTTCCCATCGCTGGGCGCTCGCGCGGGCCCTTGGCCCTGCCCGCGATGACCAGCGCACCGGCATCGGGTTGGCCAGCAGGAACTAGAAGCCGAAGCCCGTGCGCTTTTTCTCTTGGTCAGTCGTGCCAGGTGAGCCTGGTGTCCTTCGCGTGTAGCTTGGTAGTAGCTTCTTGATTACATGCCCTCCTGCTGAGATTCAAGCTCAAAGTCATCGTCGAGCTCGCCATGAAGATCATTCACATGCCCCAGAACGCATTTTCATCCCGCGAGCAGTTCTCTGAGAGAGAGAGAGAGAGAGAGAGAGAATGCGCTCCCTTGGCGCCGTCGGACTCGGCTGGCATGTTGGGCACAAGGTCAGCTACCATCTGCGCAACGAGCCCCTTGTGCTTTGACTCGTGAAAAGGAAGGGTCGTCACTTACATGCTGAACGAAAGACTACTGTTTGGCCATGCCTTCTCCCCAACGCGCCAACATGGCCAATTCGTGAGCCAGCGTCTATTCCAGAGATTTGAAATTGGAGGCCGACTGCCCCACTTGGACTTCGAGCGAGACATGAGCCCGTTGGTGGTAAGTTGACGCGCGAGCTCCTCCTCAGCCGAAACAGCCCTTGTGTGAAGCCCCTGACCTCGACTGTTTGCCCGCAGTGGCAATGGTGGCCTGCAGCTCCTCGGTTGAGAAGCCGACGAGGGACATGGAAGAGCCCCGCGTCCTGGAAGCCAGAGGTCCTTTGTGTCCTGGCGGCAACGGCAACAGAACACCATTACAGGACTCCTTTCGATTCCTCCGATTTGCTTCGATTCGACTTCGATGGCCTCCGATTCCGATTCGATTCTACTTGAGATTCCGAGTTGGGCTCCGATTTCTTATTGGAGGTATACCAGGTTGCCGATGTCCGCCGATTTGACTGTTCCTGGCTTGGCTGCCGATTTCCGCAGATCCGATTCATTTCGATCGCCGATCCGACTTATCGATTCGATGTCGGGCTTTCGGGCTGGAGCAATCCCACATCGTTGACGAGTCCCGGTACGTTTCATGTGGCTCCACGCTCTTCCAATGAAACGTACAGTGCCTACAGAGCGTCCACGATGGGTCTCTTCTTGCTGCGCCCGCACACCCCGCAGCGCCAAGCTCCCATCGGCTTCGTGGCTTGCAGGGGCGCGCGCTGCCTCCACGGAGCAGTGTTGTCGTGCATTCTTCTCCGGACGATGAGAAATCCCGTGCCGAAAACCTCGCTTAGATGACGCAGCGCCGTTCTGAAGTTCGTGTCACCAAGCTCAGATGTCCTGAGCCAGAACGACTAAGAGGAGGAGGAGGAGGAGAAGGAGGAGGAGGATGAGAGGGGAAAAATGAACAATGAGAAGAGCGAGGAGGAAAAGGCGGAGGAGGGGGAGGAACAAGAGGAGGAGGTGGGCAGGAGGAGGAGGAGGAGGGGAAGGTAGGGAGGGAGGAGGGAGGGAGGTTGGGAGGGAGGGGAAGGAGGAGGTGGGGGGGGGGGAGGGAGGGAGGGAGGGGGAGGGAGGGAGGGAGGGAGACAGGGGGAGGGAGGGAGCGAGGGACCTGATTCCGCCGTCGCGCAAGGCCGATCCGATCCGCGCCCCCCCTCCCGCCCGAGCAGGCGGAGGAGACGGCGCCTCCCGAGGGGCACACTCCCGGCATGGGCGGCGCCAACGGCTCCGGCAGCGCCGCGAGAGCAGTCGGGGAGGCGGACGCCGCCGCCGGCCAGGCGTCCCCGCGCCTGCGACCGCTGCCACTCGCCGGAGAACAGACGGCATACCCATAAACTTTTAGGCGCCCCGCGCGGATTTCTTGGACGCATCGTGCATGGTGCTCCTGGCATGCGGATCGTGTCGTATCGCATCATCATGCTCCTTCTCCTGTCGATCCTCCTAAACAGCATACCTATAAACTTTTTGGCGCTCCGCGCGGATTTCTGGGATCCGCGTTGGGGCCCCCCCTGGTGGCGCCTGCGGCGCCGCCCCTGGCCCGCTCCGCGCGCCAGGGAGGGGGTCCGGCGCAGATCCAAGAGATCCGCCGCGCGGAGCGACAAAAGTCTGTGTGGTCTGCTCTCTTTTTGTTCCCAACCCTCCTTGGTTGGGCATTCGTTTTGAATAGAGCAGTGTGGTCGCGTCCTTCCTCCTCCCGCCTCCCGCCTCTTTCCTGCCTCTTTCTGTCTTGCCTGCGGGGGGCTGCGATCTGTGAAACTGTCGCCACTTTCGAGGCCTGCTGGGGGGTCCTGCATAGAGGGTAATCGCGGCGGATTCAAATTAGACCTCGCCATCCCTGGGGGGCTGCGATCTGTGAAACTGTCGCCACTTTCGAGGCCTGCTGGGGGGTCCTGCATAGAGGGTAATCGCGGCGGATTCAAATTAGACCTCGCCATCCCTGGGGGGCTGCGATCTGTGAAACTGTCGCCACTTTCGAGGCCTGCTGGGGGGTCCTGCATAGAGGGTAATCGCGGCGGATTCAAATTAGACCTCGCCATCCCTGGGGGGCTGCGATCTGTGAAACTGTCGCCACTTTCGAGGCCTGCTGGGGGGTCCTGCATAGAGGGTAATCGCGGCGGATTCAAATTAGACCTCGCCATCCCTGGGGGGCTGCGATCTGTGAAACTGTCGCCACTTTCGAGGCCTGCTGGGGGGCCCTGCATAGAGGGTAATCGCGGCGGATTCAAATTAGACCTCGCCATCCCTGGGGGGCTGCGATCTGTGAAACTGTCGCCACTTTCGAGGCCTGCTGGGGGGTCCTGCATAGAGGGTAATCGCGGCGGATTCAAATTAGACCTCGCCATCCCTGGGGGGCTGCGATCTGTGAAACTGTCGCCACTTTCGAGGCCTGCTGGGGGGTCCAGCACAGAGGGTAATCGCGGCAGATTCAAATTAGACCTCGCCATCCCTGGGGGGCTGCGATCTGTGAAACTGTCGCCACTTTCGAGGCCTGCTGGGGGGTCCAGCATAGAGGGTAATCGCGGCAGATCCAAATTAGACCTCGCCCTCCCTGGGGGGCTGCGATCTGTGAAACTGTCGCCACTTTCGAGGCCTGCTGGGGGGCCCAGCACAGTGAGGGCCACGCGCGGATTCAAATTAGACCTCGCCATCCCTGGGGGGCTGCGATCTGCGAAACTGTCGCCATTTTCGAGGCCTGCTGGGGGGCCCAGCACAGTGAGGGCCACGCGCGGATTCAAATTAGACCTCGCCATCCCTGGGGGGCTGCGATCTGCGAAACTGTCGCCATTTTCGAGGCCTGCTGGGGGGCCCAGCACAGTGAGGGCCACGCGCAGATTCAAATTAGACCTCGCCATCCCTGGGGGGCTGCGATCTGCGAAACTGTCGCCATTTTCGAGGCCTGCTGGGGGGCCCAGCACAGTGAGGGCCACGCGCGGATTCAAATTAGACCTCGCCATCCCTGGGGGGCTGCGATCTGCGAAACTGTCGCCATTTTCGAGGCCTGCTGGGGGGCCCAGCACCACGCGCGGATTCAAATTAGACCTCGCCATCCCTGGGGGGCTGCGATCTGCGAAAGACCTGGGGGGCCCAGCACAGTGAGGGCCACGGGCAGATTCAAATGAGACCTCGCCATCCCTGCGGGGCTGCGATCTGTGAACCTGTCGCCACTTTCGAGGCCTGCTGTGATCCCCGTTTTCGAAGTGGCTAGGAGTGCTCAGGAATTGTAAATCATCAGCTTTATCAAGCCCTTTTCCTGTAGCCAGTGTCCTGCGAGTCTCCCGAATTCCGTCTGCAGACATATGTAACCCTCGCTCCGTCATCGCCCCCTTGTAAAGTATCCTAAACTATTTGCGCCCCGCTTTTGCGCAGGGGTTGGGTACGTCGCCAGGGTAATGTTTTGTTCCGTTGCGCCATCGCCGTCTGCATTGTCGTCGCCGCCGTCGTCGCATTCTTTCCTCCTCCTTCTCCTCCCAGCCTTTTGCTCTAGACACTTCCCCCCCCCTTCCTCCTGTCTCCACCCTTTTCGTTCGTTCCTCCTCCTCCTGTTCCTCCTCCTCCTCCTCCTCCTCCTCCTCCTCCTCCTCTGCTTCTTCCTCCTTCTCCTAGAGCCTCATCGTCCTGGACTCGTCCTCACCCTAAGGGCAAGAGGGCTAGCATCCCATGGCAGTTTCTCTCGGGGGGGGGGCGCAGGCTAGCATCCTGTGGCAGTCGTCCTTCTGATTTGTATATTGGTCCTCCTCATCATGATTACGATCGTCATCATCATCATCATCATCATCATCATCAACATCATCATCATCATCATCGTCATCGTCATCGTCATCATCATGAGCGTAATCAGCATCATCAAGATCATCATCGTCGTCGTTGTCTCATCATCAGCATCAGCATCAGCATCATCACCATAATCACCATCGTCGTCATCGCCACCTTCATCTTCATCATACTTACCATCCCATCCCCAGAATCATCATCAGCATCATCATCATCATCATCATCATCATCATCATCACCCTCATCATCATCATCATCGCCCTGGTGTTTAGAGCAGGACCTGGGTGCTATCCTCCAAAAACCGAGGTTCACGACGCTACTATCTTCAAGCCAGTTTGTTGATTCAGGGCCCATTGCTGCCTGACGGTGCGAGATGCGTAAGCACAGCTCGCATTGGACAGGCGAGTAGCAGGGTGCTCATGGCATGCGGACCGTGTCGTATCGCATCATCATGCTCCTTCTCCTGTCTACCCTCTTCCGCATTGTGCTCCTCATTCTTCTCATCCTCCTCTTTCAGGAGGGGAAAAACACACAGACACAATTAATCGTCGATTCCCAGGAAAATATAGGAAAGTATAGGAAGTGGGGGGGAAGACGAAAATACAAAAAAATAAGCATATGTCGAATCCTGTTATTTGTGTATTTATTTGTGTGTCCTTGGGCCCCTTCACTCTTGCTCCCCCCCGCCTCTTTCGCTTCCCCTCGCCCTTTCTCCCCCTCCCTCCCCGGGAGGCCGCAGAGCCAGCGCCCCTGGTGCTGAGCGGCTCTGGCGCGAGGCCCGGCCCGATGGGGGGCCCAGCGTGCAGGATGAGAAGGAGGAGGAGGAGGAGGAGAAGGAGGAGGAGGGGAGGGGAAGGAGGAGAGGAGGGGGAGGGGAAGGAGGAGAGAAGGGGGAGGGGAAGGAGGGGAGGAGAAGGGGGAGGGTTGAGGAGGAGGATGTTGAGGAGGAGGAGGAGGAGGAGGAGGAGGGGAGGGGAAGGGGCAGGGGAGGGGAGGAGTAGGTTGACAAAGGCGAGGTGGGAAAGGAATAGGGTAGGAGGAGGCAGAGGGAGAGAAAGAGGAGGGGGATAATAGTGATGATGTTGATGACGATGCTGATAGTAATAATAATAATAATACTAATACTACTAATAATGATAATAATAATTACAATACTAATACTAATAATAATATTTGAAGTAATGATGATGATGATGATGATGATGATGAACATGATGATGATGATGATGATGATGATGATGATGATGATGATGATGATGATGATGCCGATGCCGATGCTGATGCTGATACTGATGCTGATACTGATGCTGATGGGTATGATGATGACGACGATGATGATGAAGATAATGCTTAGGTTGATGCTGATGGTGTTTGTGTTGATGATGGTGATGATGGTGATGATGATGATGAAGATGCTGGTCATGCTGATGATGTTGATAATGGGTGATGATGATGACGATGGTGGTCGTGGTGATGATGGCGGCGATGATGATTGTGCTGCTGCTGCTGATGATGATGGTCGTGATGATGACGATGACGATGATGATGATGATGTTGATGATGATGACGATGATGATGATGGTGACGGTGACGATGACGATGGCGATGGTGATGATGATGCTGATGTTGATGCTGATGATCATCATGATGATCATGACGATCATACTGATGCAAATGATTGATGATGATGGTGGTGATGCTGGTGATGATGATGATGATGATGATGCTGATGATGTTGATGCTGATGATGATGATGATGATGATGATGATGATGATGATGATGAGGAGGAGGAGGAGGAGGAGGAGGAGGAGGAGGATGCTGATGCTGGTGATGATGGTGGTGGTGGTGGTGGTGGTGGTGGTGGGGAGGAGGAGAAAAAGGAGGAGGAGGAGGAACGAGGGAAGGAGGGAGGGGCAGAGAGAGAGAGAGAGAGTGAGAGAAGGGAGGGGAATCAGGGGCAGGAGGGGGTGGACGAGGAGGGGGGGGGAGAGGCAGGTATGTCTCGACGCGGAGACTTCCTAGAACCAAAATGGAGGAGGAGGAGGAGGAGGAAAAGGACCAGACGCTGCAGGGAGAACAGGACGCACACCTGCAATGGTGGAGGTAGCCTGTGGGCCGCCTCGAGGCCCAAATGGCCGCCCAAGGATCCACCCGCAGGATCGCGATCCAGGGCGGAGGCCAGGGAGAGCGGCGGCGGAGGCGGGCGGCCGACCTCGCCGTGGAAGCTGGACGCGCCGGGGCGCGGGGCGCGCGCACGAGCGCGCGCCTCTCTCGCACGTCTCGCTCCCCCGATCACCGAGCGCAGAAAAAAAAAAGAAGAACGAGGGAGGAGGGGGGAGGAGGGGGAGGAGGAGAGGAGAGGAGGAGGAGAAACGCGGGGCGACGTCTCGTCAAAAAACCGGCGCGCCGCCGATCACCGACCGCAGAAAAAAAGAAGCGAACAGCGAGGTGGGCCAGGACCACGATTTAGGACCAGGCGGTCTGCGAAAGCTGATGGGACTGGGGGGAGTGTGGGAAGAGGGATGCGGAGGGCAGAGGCAGAAGGGAAGGGAGGTGTCCAGGAGAGGTCGGGGAGGGGACTAAACGGGAGGGGGTATGGCTAGAAGGTATAATGCTTCTCCTCCCCTTCCCACACTTCCCTAGACCAACGGCGTCGTGTTTCAATTCACCACATGATACCCGAGTCATTCCTAGGGAAGAAACAATACCGATACCGCTGATTTCTGGATCCTCGTTCAGGGTGCGTTCTGACCAGGATTCCGAGGCGAATCCAGCCGCGGCGACGAGGGATCAGAGTGGCCACAGGGCTCGAATCTGGCGCTATTTGGAGCCTGTTCTTTTCCATCCCGACGTCGCCAATGCATCGCCGAGCATCGCCGATGCGTCGCGAATTTCCGACCCCAACTACTTCGGCCCCGTCTGTGAGGTTTTCAAATGATTTCGGAGGTCGGTGGAACCTTCACGCTACCCAGTCGATTTGCGAATTTCCATCTTTAGGTTCTCGAGAAGGCGTTGCGGCCGTATTGTTTGAGGGCTTGCGCATGCTTTGACTGGTCCAGGGTCAGTTTCACGAAAGGGTGTTTTGCTATAGGGGGTTGTCCACCCCCAATATCTCATAGTCCGCCGCTCCCTTCCATGGCTCCTCCTGGCAGGAAGGTGTGCAAACCAAACCTGCCGCACGTCGCGCTTTACTCTCGCACGCAGGTGTCACGGCTGCTGGCGGTTTTCTCTGCCAGCGCAGTGTATTCGGCATTTTGGTGCAACAGGCCTTGCACACGTCATTGTCTTGCTTTGCCTTACCTCATCCTCATCCTCCTCCTCCTCATCCTCCACTTCCTCCTCATTTTCATCATCCTCCTACATCATACGGCCTCCCTCCTCCCCATTATCCTTCTTCTTCTTCTCCTCCTCCTCCTCCTCCTCCTTCACATGCTTCTCTCATCCGCCCTCCTTCCCGTCTCCCTGCTCATCCGCGCTCCTCCCCCTCCCCTTGCCTATCCTCCCCCCCTCCCCCTGCTCCTCCTCCGCATCCCCCCCCCTCCTCCTCCCCATGCTCCTCCTCCCCTCCCCCTCCTCCACGCCCCTTCGAAAGGCCAGGCGAGCACGAGAGCGCCACGGCCAGGAAGTACAGGCCGCTCCAGAAGCACCCAGCGCTCTTCGACACTGAGTCGGGGTGGCAGGAGGATCGGTTCTCCCCCAGGCGGGATGAGAAGAGGAGGCGGCGGGAGGAGAAGGGTGGAGTATAAGAGAGCGCGCGGGGGAGGAGTTATTGGATTCCCTGCTTACCCGCCTGTCTGGGTGTTCACTCGAAGCTTGCCACCGCGACAGGTGCGGCAGCTGCACTGGTACAGCCCTTGTGGCCTAAGGTACAGCCGCCTGGCTGCGGCGGCCAGCTGTCTGCCGAAAGCGTTTGCACGGCTCCCCAATACAGCATTCAGGCCTGGCCGGTGCCCTCTGCAGGGCGTAGGCCTGGCCACGGGCACCCGGCGCCGCAGGCGCCCAACTTATACAAATTACAAAACAAGCCTGCCGCAGGCGCCGATTTTTCGTTAAAGCAATGTGGGTGGGTCGCGGGGTGTGGTGGGTCTCGGGGTGGGTCGCGGGGTGGGTCGCGAATGGGTCGCGAATGGGTCGCGGGTGGGTCGCGGGCCGGATCGCGGGCCGGATCACGGGTGGGTCGCGGGTGGGTCGCGAGTAGGTCGCGGGCGGGTCGCGGGGTGGGTCGCGGGTGGGTCGGGGGCCGGGTCGCGGGGGATGACGCCAAAAAGTAACAATTCAACAAACAACCACATGAGCAACAACAACAACAACAATAATAACAACAACAACAACAACACAACAAGGTAACAAGGTAACAACACCTGGAGGCCCCAGCGTTCCTACGGCGAAGTAGGAACTCTTGCTGGAGGCCCTCTGCGGGATGGGGGGGGCAACTGGCAACGGGAAGCGCCCAGTGCCACCGCAACCCACCCAGACTGAAGCTCGAATTTCGGATACTCTATTCAGGTTTCTCCCAGAACAAGCATGCGCGCTCCGCAAAAGCTCCCATCCACTTGCTCTTTTCGGAGTCCTGAGTTAGGTATCTTTATGAAGAAATCCTTGGTAAGGAGTCCTTAACAAAGAATTTGGATTAAGAAAATCCTCCATCATGAGTATTTCTTACAAATCCTTCATAAGGAATCTAATCGAATGAGGTTCTGGTAATAAGAAATATGTACTACGTGGTCCTGAGTGAGAAACCTTGATACGAAAGAATCCTCAATAAGGACTATGCAGTAAGCAATCCTTAGTAAGGAATATGTATTGAGGAATCCTTGGTAAGGAGTCTGTATGACAGAATCTTCAGTAAGGAATCTGCATTAATGAATCCTGAATGGGAATCTTTATCGGGAATCCTACATCAGAAATCTGGATTCGGGTGTCGTCACTGAAAGACTTTACTGAGACATCCCGAGAGAAAGAATCTGTACCAAGGAATCCTTAGGAACCTTGATTACGACATCCTTACCAAGGAGCATTTTCTTCGGAATCCTCAGTAAGATCTGCACCCACGAAACTTTCATATGAAATCGTTGCCCAGGAATATTTAATAATGCATATTCATTCAGGAGTCCTCTTTCAGAAATCTTTATTACTCCGAGTTTATAAGATGCCACCTGTGCTGAAGAATCCGTAAACAGGAATATGTTCTGCCGAATTCTTGAAAAGGAATCTTTATTCAGGGATTCTTAGGCGGAACATGTACTAAGAAATCGTCACTGAGGAATGTGCATTAAAGAGTCCTTGATAAGGAATATGTGCAAAGGAGTCTTTCTTCAGGAGTCCCTAGTATGGAATATTCAGTAGCGGGTATTCACTAACATATTCGTAATTTGAAAATGGGATAAGGAATCCTATGTATTGACTCTTTACTAAAGGCTTGTTAGTGAGGGGTTTTACGAAGGAATCCCTCGTATGGGGTCTGCTTAAAAAGGAGTCCTTCGCATGGGGCCTTTACTGAAAAACCCTTGGTAAGGAACTTGTACAAAAGGAGTCCTCCTTGAGAAATCTGTATTACGTATTCCTGCATCGGAAACGTTATTCGGGAGTCCTTAGCAAGGCATCTTTACCCAGGAACCCCTCATTCAGGAATATGTGTAAAGAAGTTTGCAATCAGCAATCTTTACGTAAGTACTCCTGAGTGAGGAATCTGTATTCAGGGATACGTAGGGCTTCCCTTTTCTCCAAAACCAAAAAAGGAATCTTCAAAAAGGAATGTCTAGTGCGGAATATTCGATTACCGAGATGCCAGTGCGAAGGATTTGTCCGTAAGGAGTGTGTAGTAAGGAATCACCCCCCCCCCAAGAATTGTCATTAAGGCATTCTTCGTAAGGGAACTTTAATATAGGCTCCGATGTAAGGAATATGCAATAAGGAGTCGCCAGGGAGTTTTATGTAACCATGTTGGCTACATATTTTTTGCATGTAAGAATTATGTGCTAACGAACCCGTATGGCGGAATATGTACGAAGGAATATTTCATCAGGGATAGTTACGGAGGAATCATTAGCAAGGAAATTGTATGAAGGAATTCTTTGTACATAATCGTCCTTACCAAACCCTTAGCCATGGATTTGCACCCACGAATCCATAACAAGGGGTCTGTATTCAGGAGTCTTCAATCAAAGGATATGTATGCAGGGGTCTCCAGTACGGAGCCTCTGTGCAGGAATATTTCGTAAAGGGTAAGGGGTCGTTGGTAAGGAGTCTTTACTCGGGAACCCTTCGTAGGGAATTGTTGAACCAAGGAATCATCAACAAGGGATATGTCCTCAGGACTCCTCAAGAACACATATTTGCTCTGGAATCCGACCCAAGGAATCCTTAGTAAGGAAGCCGAAGGAACGAGTTATTAGCAGGAGCCTTTTTAGTCGGGAACCCTCAGGAAGGAATATTTACGAAGGATTCCATAGCTGGGATTCTGTATGAAGGAACTTTTTGCCAAATATTAATTCCTACGGGATACTGGCAACAGGCATGCGTGCCAAGGATCACGCGACCACGGATGCGGGATAATGGTGGGATATGGAGATGACGACAATGTCTGGTAGTTTCGGAGAAGCGCGCGAGTGTTGCGACACGTTGGCGTCCCAGTACACCATTCCAGCACGCATCCCAGCACACCCATGGGGGCCACGGCCAGCACAGATCGCAGCGCATCACAGCACGCCCATACAAACCAGCACATATCCCAGCACACGGAGGCAGCACACTTCCCAGCACACCGAAATAGTTCACCGATGTCGGCCAGCACCGAGTACACCGAGCGCACGTCCCAGCACACCCAGGGGGGGCTTTGCCAGCACATACCGCGACACACCGAGGCAAGCACACATTCCAGCATACGGAGGCAGCACAGCCCAGCACACACCTTGGCACATCTCCACACATCCCAGCACCCCCAGCGACCATCATAATCCATCCCTGCCCCGTCCGTCACTCATCCTCCTCATCCTCATCATATTCACTTCCTCCCCTCCTCCTCCTCCCTCTCTCCACCTGCTCATCGCATTCACCTCCTCGTCCTCGTCCTCAGTTCCCTGGGGGCGGCGCGCACGCGCGAGAAAGGCCACGACGGACCCACGATGGCTTCACAAAACTCATCGATGGCCCAACAGGGCCGCTTCAGACCTCCAGACGGCCAAGAGGGCCCAAGACGACCCAAGAAAATCCCAAGGACAGTCGTCATTCTCTCTTTGTCCTTTTTCTCCTCCGCATCGTCGCCGTTGCCGTCATCATCACCATCACCACCATCATCATCATCATCATCAGCATCATCATCATTATCAGCATCGCCAACATCGCCACCATCATCAGCATAACAATCATCGTCTCAATCATTATCAGCGGTACAACCATTGTCAGAATCATCATCAGCGTCATCACCATGATCCTAATCATCATCACCAGCATCATCCCTTCCCGTCCCCATGCATTCGTAGTTCTCCTCATCCTCATCATAATCATTCCCTCATCCTCCTCCTCCTCCTCCTCCTCCTCCTTGTCTTCACCTCCTCCGCGTCTTCTTCACCTCATTCTCGTCCTCGTTTCCCTGGGGCGGGTGGCGGCGCGCGCGCGAGAGAGGCCAAGACGGATTCGTGTTGGCTTCACGAGGCCCTTCGACGGCCTTCAACACGGCCGCTTCAGACCCTCCACACGGCCAGAGGGCCCAAGACGGCCCAAAGGAATCCGAAGGACGGCCTTCCTCTCCCTCCCCCTCCTCCTCCTCCTCCCCCTCCTCCTCCCTCCTCCCTCCCTCCTCCTCGGCATCGTCGTCGTCACCACCACCACCACCAACCACCATCACTGTCCTGGGGAATCCTGAGGATCCCTGGGCCCCTGCGGGGCCCGCGGGGCCCCGCAGGTGCCTTCGTTGCTCGTTGCCTGTTGCCTTCCCCCCCCACGGGGCCTCCAGACAGCGTTCCTACCAACAACAGCAACAACAACAACAACAATCAGTTTAAGACTGTTCGCCCTTATCTGCTCGAGTGTCGAATAACGCGAATTTCCCAAACCCTCGAACCCGCCCTTTTCGTCTTCGATCGAACCCCTTGTGGGGGGTATACCTTTCTTCCCTGCAGGCCGGGCCCCGGCAAGCGGCGGGGCGGCCGCGGACCGTCGTCCTGGCCAGCGGCAGCGCTGATCGGCGGGGCGGCCGCGGACCGTCGACCCGACCCCAAGAGGGACGGACCGGGGACCGACCACGACGACGACGACGACGACGACGACGTCGACGACGACGGCAACGACGGCGACGGCGACGATGACCATGAGCGAAAGCGAGAGCGAGAGAGAACGACAGCAGAGCCACGAAGGACATGAAGTAGGCCACGAAGGGCGACAGCGGGGACACGAAGGGAATGCGTATGGCGACACGAAGAGCGCTAACGAGCGTGGGCCACGAAGGGCAGATAATGCGGGGCCACAGAAGGCAACGATGGGGCCACTGAGCATTCAACAATCAACAATCAACCATCATCAACAACAATAAGTTTAAGACTGTTCGCTCCTATTTGCTCACGTGCCAATCAATAAATACGCATGTTTATATATATTTATGTATAACAAATAGGCTGGGCCCCCATCCAGGGGCGTCCTCCACCTCGCTCACATCTGGTGTACGCTCTTGGTACCGCGCTTTCCG